TACGTGAGGGGAGTATAGTACGGTCCATTTGTAAGTTCCATATTATACAAGATTACAGGATGTTTCATTGGAATAGGTGAATACATCACTTTGAGCTGAATGAAAATTAAGATTAAGCAAGCAAAAAGGTCTTGTCATCCAGATGACATTCGTAGAGCAACGAATCTCGTCCATGAAGTGAGAAGTGCACTCCATGAATTCCATAATGAGCAGTAGAGCGGCTTTCTGGCGGGGATGCTTGAATCAAGTATTCGTCTCTGGAAGGTGGCAAAATCGCTCAGAAACGGAAGGCAAGAACAACTACCACATATTCATGGTCCTGGAGGCATAGTCTTCGGGACTGAGAATAAAGTGGAGGTTTTTGCTGACGTCATCGAAAGGCAGTTCTCTCCCAATTATGATCTGGACAATGACCTTGACGAGGAACGACAAATTGTATGATTTGTCAGGAGATATTTCAGAGCGAATGGCGACAACAACGTCAGTGCCAACATCGGTGACTCTTTTTTAGAAGATTCTACGGAAGACTCTTCAGATGAATCTCAGCATAGCACATCAACCGAATCCTCTGAGATTCCGTTTTACACACCAGCAGAGCTCCAAGGCCACATTAAGGACCTAAAGGTGCGTAAAGCACCTGGAGGGGATCAAATCACCAACAAAGCACTGAAGTTGCTTTCACTCAAGGCTTTGACTTGTCTGGTGGCCATAATCAATGCAATGCTTAGAACACATTACTTTCCTAAGGCGTGAAAGATCGCTGAAGTCATCATGATCCCAAAGAAGGAAGGTTTGATATTCCCCCAGGATTACCGTCGCATTAGCCTGCTGTCAGCTCCTTCTGAGCTCGCTGAAATGGTGATTTATCGTCACCTTGAGAATTTCTTGTCAGATCATCATGTGATTCCTGACGTGCAATTTGGCTTTCGGTCTGAGCATAGTACGGAGCAACAGGCAGTTAGACTGGTGGACCATGTAACCAGGGGGTTCACCCTGAACGAAAGTACTGGTATCTTGCTTTTAGATGTATCAAAGGCATTTGACAAGGTGTGGCACATGGGCCTCTTGTATAAGTTCATCCAAAACGGTTTTCCATTTTGGCTTCTAAAACTGTTGAAATCTTTTCTAGAAGCAAGGAAGTTTCGGATCAAAATTGACAATGTGTTGTCAACAACACGGCCCGTAAGAGCCGGTGTTCCTCAGGGTTCGGTCTTAGGATCAATCCTTTATTCACTTTATATACAGGACGTCCCTTGTCACAGCAACTGTGAAGTCTATCTCTATGCTGATGATACTGCACTGCTAGCTCAGTCTAGTTCTGGTAACCTCGTTCACAACAGGCTGCAGAGTGCGGTGGAGGAAGTATTGGAATGGGCGGATCGGTGGTTGATCAAAATTATTACTTCAAAAATGCAGGCAATCTATTGTACTAAAAATGTCGCTCAGAGATATCAGTGAATGGAACTCGTATACCATGGGAACAATCCCGTCAGGTACCTTGGACTCATCATTGACAAGGGGTTGACCTTTCAGAAACATACTGATATTTTGAAAACAAAATTCCAAATTACCTTTCCTGGTATCCCACCAATTGATTTGCTGGCAACGATGTTGCGATAAATTCAGTATACGAAACAAATGAATGTCTGATAATTCCAACGCCTACATAGGAAATTCTATACTTTTGAAATAACCAAGGTTTCATCCAATAAGGCGTCCTTAGAAAAATAAAGTTGATGCTGGACGACAAGTGATGAAGGGTGATTTCGAAATTTTAATTATGCCGTACTGTAGAGAAGAAAAAGTGGCAATTTTAATGTGCAGTTTATTTCGACATCCCACTACAATTAAAGTCAGGAAAACATTTAAAGTATTTTGGGAAGAAGTGAGATTGAAGTTCGAAATTTTCTGAGCGGCATTTTGTTGATTACCTAAATACGCAGCTTTGCCGCCATTTAAGCGACCTCGTATCTTTTACAGTTTTTGGTATCCCAATGATGAGGGTCGAATTTGAAACACCTTGTATATTCACATTATCTGGATAGATGCCAAATCTGATCCAAGAAAACTGCGGTCAGTTGTCGATCACTTAATAACAAAGACGTTCAAGAAAAGCCAAATATTGATGAAATTAAGAATCGTGATGGAACAATATTAACAGATAAACGACAGATATCCGATGCATTCTTAAATTTTTTCATTAATGTTGGAGAAAATTTAGCATCCAGTATTAAAAAATGGTTTCGAACAAAAAGTTCACAAAAACCCAACTTCCCAATGCATTCTTTTTAGAAAGCGTTAGTCCGATTGAAGTACAAGAAGCTGTCCTATCACTTAAAACCAAAAAAAGTCCTGGTGTAGATGGAATCAAAGCCGACCATTTAAAAATAATAGCCTACGACTTAGCCGAACCACTTTCTTACGTCATTAATTGGTGTTTCCAATCTGGAATTTGTCCTGATGCATTTAAAACAACTGTTATTACTCCTGTTTATAAAAGCGGTGACAGAATGGAAACATCAAATTACAGACCCGTATCAGTACTATCGAATATAGCCAAAATTTTCGAAAAATTACTACAAAAAAGGATATTACAATTTTTGGACAAAAACAAAATTATATGTTCTGACCAATATGGATTTAGAAAAGGAAAATCTACTACAGATGCAATTTTGGCTGCAATGGATGAAATTAACTCTAATGTCAACAAAAAGGTACCTACTATTGGTATCTTTGTTGATCTAAAAAATGCCTTTGATACGGTTAACCATGTCGAGCTTCTGAAAGTTATGGAAAGATTAGGATTTAGGGGAGCGTCACAAATCCTTTTAAAAAATTACCTTTCAAGTCGGGCAGAGACTGTCAAAATCACTAACACTTACAGCAAAAAAATGTACATCAAGTGTGATGTGCCTCAAGGAACAGTACTAGGCCCACTATTATTTAGTCTCTACTTAAATGACTTATTCAGAATTAACAGTTCTGGAAAGATTATATGTTTTGCAGATGACACCCTCGTATTATATAAAGCTGATGACAGGAGCACACTGAAGCAAATAGCTGAAAAGGATTTTATAAGGATCATTGACTGGTTTGATACAAAAATTTTAACAGTTAACTTCAAAAAAACAAAATTTATTGCATTTACATCCTATTCAAAATTTTTACCTACCTTCGAACAAATTTCCGTTAATTATCATGGCCAAAAGACCAAAATCGATATAGTTAACACTTTGAAATATCTTGGAATATTTATAGACTCACATCTAAGGTGGGATAACCATATTAAATATGTTATCAAAAAAATTAGAAATGTTGCCTATAAACTCAAAATGCTTGCTAACATTCTTACAGAAAGTTATCTGCGAATCCTATACTATGCCTTAGTTGAAACCCATATAATATACGGCATCACAGCCTGCAAGACATATATTTCTGACCTGAATATAGCACAAAAAACTGTTTTGAAAGCCATTTTCCATAAGCCAAGATTATATCCAACGAACAACTTATATCAAGAAACAGGGATACTTGATACAAGACAAATTTATTTCTTACATGCCACCACCTTAAACCATAAGTATTGTAATAAAAAGAAAAAAATCCTATAAACACAAGCATAACACACGATTTCGAATAGGCTCATCTAATATCCAAAGACCACACAAAACATTATTCAAAAAATCATTTAAATTCTTAGCAGCTAAATTATATAATGTAGTACCAAACGAAATAATGATACTTAATTTTGGAAAAAAATTTAGAAGAAAATTGAAAGACTGGGTTAGTAATGTGCAGCGAATGACTATACATAATTATATAGAAAACTAAAACTACAAAATTCCAATTACATTAATACCTTTTAGATTTAACAATAATTGTTATACACATATATGATTGATTGTTAGTTATTAAGATATAAACCACGTACAGGCGATGCCTTCTGTGGTTTTTTCATATTTATTTGCCCATTTTTTGTATTTTGGCGAATAAACATTATTATTATTATTATTATTATTATTTTATTAGTCAGATATCTACTTTTTACAGTGTATAACTCGGTTTAATCCAACGTGTTAAGTTCAAAATCTTAGGTATTTTTACAATTTTAAGCGTACGAAGTCGCAGGTATCGTATGAATTGTACTGTACTACACTTTTGAGAATATCAGATATATTATGAGCTCTACTTTTGTTTGTTCGAGAATATTAAAAAGTTGTTTCTGCCTCCCTCGTCGCTGTGTACTTATTCTGTCCAATATCATAAAAGAAACGCTCGGCTGAGTGTATAGGCGTGTTTTCTCTTCTTAGGGTGGCTCGATAGTGTTTTGCTTTTATTAGGCGTCTTGGTGAGGCGATCGCGTGCTGAAGTGTATTTTTGTAGAGGGCTTATTTTCTTACACAACAGATTCTATAAAGATTGAGATAATGAGCAAAATCTTTGCTCGCCCACACCAGTAAACTACAGTCAACATAAGAGAAAATTGCCGAATTTTTTTCAGTGGCTCATAAGCGCTTTGTACGCAAGTACTTTATTGATTGTTGTCGGGAAATCATACGATGGTCGATGTTGATGTCAACTGATGAGGGCATTGCCTGGGAAGTGCAGAGTCAACCTACTTGACGCCATACTGTATATGTGTTACTACGCAACTAAATGATGAGATGTTAGAGAAACTACAGCATATTTGGAATACAGGTTTTGTTTTTTGGAAATAAATTGCAAGATGAGTGGGATAACAAAATGAAAAATGTATTAAATTATTGGGAAATCATTAAATTTTTAAGATGTAAACAATCAAACAAAACAAAAACCAGGCACTCCATCAAAATATTTATTATTTTAATTTACTTAGAGTGCAGGTAATTTGAAATATAACGCCGAACACCCAGTTTAAATGGTTTTATTTTAATAAAATTTTGTATAAGTACTTAATGAAGCATAATAAGTAAATGATAAAAATTTCAAAATGATTGCACTGCTTTAAAGCTCTTTGACCTTTAATAATGTGTGGATGCACCCTGATGTGCTACGCATTCTCCAACGCGCCTAGGCATGCTTCTGATCAGGTGGTCAATGTCCTCCTGTGGTATCTCATTCCAGGCAACCACCAACTCCTCTCGAAGTGCTTCTAGAGTCTGAGGAGGACGTTGCAAATTGAGCAATCTCCTACCCATCATATCCCACACGTGCTCAATTGGGGATAAGTCGGGAGATCTTGGTGGCCATGGTAATAATGTGACATCATTATGTTGAAAGAAGTCTATTGTGGCTCTTGCAACATGTGGTCGGGCATTATCTTGTTGGAAAGTTGGATCTGCCAGGGTGTCAAGATAGGGTAAAAGATGGGGTTCTAGAACTTCGTGGATATAACGCTGCGCGTTCATGTTACCTCTGATGAAGATTAAAGGTGACCTGGAACTATAAGCTATAGCACCCCAAACCATAACTCCAACAGTGTGATGAACATGTCTTTCAACAAAAAACTGTGGATTCCTCCTTTCACCACGTCGCCTTCTAACCATGGCACGACCATCGTGCATGCCTAAACAAAATAGAGACTCGTCACTAAAGACAATACTGTTCCATTCCTGATCCCAGAGTGACCGTTGTCTGCACCACTCAAAGCGATTACGTCGGTGTTCTCGAGTTAAAGAGAGGACCCAGTGTGGCCGGTATGAAAACAAGTCAAAAACTCTCGTTTGTCGGTAAACACTTCGCATGCCAATAGGTCTTCCGTGTTCTGCAAACCATTCATTTGCAATGGACCTGGTAGTGGAGAAACGGTCCCTTAAGGCCAATAATCTTAGGCGGCGATCATCACGGTCTGTTGTTCTACGGCGGCGTCCAGTGCCCCTTGCTCTTTGCGTACGGACTTCTCGAAGCCATGCCTGACAACACCTAACCACAGTTTCTACACTTCTTTGCACTCTAACTGCAATTGCCCGAAAAGAAAGTCCAGCTTCCCGAAGTCCCACTATATGGCCCCTATCATACTCACTAAGTTGACGGAATCGTACAGGTCTCCGTACTCTAGGCATCGTAACCGATCGTAAAGGATGTCAAGAACCAAAATCCGCCAACTTTGATTCTTTACTGCGGCTGAAATATTAACTTTTAGAGCGTTAGTGAATTAAAAGAAAGCAGTACAAAAACCGGAATGTCCAACTGATAAGGCTGAAAATTTTTTCACTTGTTATTTACAGTAAGATAAATACATTCACCAACGTTTATTAAAATAAAACCATTTAAACTGGGAGTTCGGATTTATATGTCACTTAGTATAAATAGTGATTATAATCACCTTTTTTTCTCAACTTTGTAACAGTTTTACAGTCTTTGATAATTAATCTGCTTAACAAAATCTATATACATAAACATGACTCCCTATTTCGCGTGGTTATTCCATAACTTGAGAACGACTTTACCGATTCCATTCATCTTTTTTTTATGTTTCCTAATGCTATATAGAAGGTTCTTACGGCAATAAAAATCAGGAAAGTTGCGCATAAAATTGGAAAATATTCGAAAACCTAATGATTATTTAAACTATGCGCATTTGAAAGTTTGCTTGAGCAGGGAGCACGCAGAGCAGAAGAAATATCTCAAGTACCAAAAGATCCAGGCGCACTCCTCTCTGCAATCTTTATTCCAACAGCTATTGACAGTTAGCTATGTGAGAGAAAATTGCTTATGAAAACACGGTGCTTTCGTTTTTGGACTTACATTTCTTTACCGTCCGTACTTTGTGATGACCCCTTCAAAAGAAACTGCAGTGTTGCCTAGCTGTTATCTTTGTCAGTTAACGCTATGAATGGAAATGGAGGATGAAAATACCTTTCTTTTGCTTTATTGACTTTCACTACTCTATCACTTTGAACTTGACAGAGTTTAACAGTGTTTATCGATGAAAAAATATTGTTTTAGTTAATAAGTAGTACACAGTCCTTCAGCCTTAGTTCTTAGTTACTGTTCTTACAATAATCATAGATATACCCTAAAGACTTTCAAAGTACAATCTCAGAAAGATTCTACAATTCCCGTGAGCTTGTCCGATCCGTATAAAATAAATGAGGCATTCATTTCAATTTTCGAGAATAGTGATTTGGCTTGTGCTGATAAAATTGCATATTACCGAGCTAATAAAAATAACTCAAAATTTAAATTTCAATTTAATAAAGTGACTATTGACACCGTTGTTAAAATTATACATAAAATAAAATCAAATTCTAGTGGTACAGATGAAATAACTTTGCATATGATACTACTATGTATACCTGAAATTGATGTCTACTTAACGCATATTATAAACTGCTGTTTAGAGAGGGGATATTTCCCCAATCAGTGGAAACGCGCTATAGTTATTCCGCTACCTAAGTGTTCTGATCCTACTAACTATGGTCAACTGAGACCGATCAGTCTACTGCCAATTTTCTCTAAAGTATTGGAACGCGTTGTTTACGAGCAGCTGTGCGCCTACTTATATTCTAACAAAATTATTCCATCTAAACAATCTGGATTTCGACAAGGTCATAATACAGCTTCGGCACTCTGTTATTTAACAGGCAATATAACAATGGCACTTGATAACCAAAAAGCAGTAGCTCTCATACTTCTTGACTTTACTAAAGCATTTGACACCATTAATCACTCGCTTCTTGTATCTAAATGCAGTTACTATGGATTTTCTGAAAAACCTCTTTCGTTTATTCAAACCTACCTTGAAAATCGGTATCAAAAAGTTCGTCTAAATCAACACGGAACAAAAAATTTGTTCTGGTGTACCACAGGGATCAGTCTTAGGACCGCTATTATTTTCATTATATATCTCAGATTTAGAAACAGAGGTAAAATCATGCAACATACAATTTTTTGCAGATGATACTCAAATTTTCTATTCATTTAGGAGTAATGACTTAGAAACCGCAAATAATAAAATTAATCAAGATCTTGCCCAAATTGAAAAGTTCAGTAGTAGTCATAATCTTCGTTTGAGCACTTTGAAGACAAATATGTTGGTATACGCAAATAGAACAAAAAGAATACCTTAAAAAAGGACATAGACATACATTTAAAAGGTAATAAATTAATTCCTGTGGATCATTCGAAAAACCTAGGTATTAGGATGGATGATGACTTAAAATTTGTTGCACACGTGAACTATCTAATTACTCAGTGCTACGCTATTCTCAGAGTTTTATTTGCAAATAAGGCTATATTACATAAATCTGCGAGAAAGCAATTGTGTGAATATTTCGTATTTTCAAAGATATCGTATTGCTTAGTGGTTTACTATCCCTATTTAGATATTATAACAAGAAATCGTATTCAAAGTATTATGAATACATGTTGCAGGCTTGTAAATGATCTCAGAAAATACGATCATATATCGAATGCCATTAATGAACTCAAATGGATGAAAATTGATAAAATGTATAAGTACCAGCTCCTAAATCTGACTCATAAGGTTCTTTATTCAAAAACACCGTCATATTTAGTAAACAAATTCATACGTAGAGGGAATATGCATCGTATTAATATTAGATATAGAGATACTTTTTCAATTCCACGTCTCTATTTCAGAATTCATACATTTACAATGCGTCCAAATCATATAATTCTTTAGACCGCAGTTTAAAAGAAACCAATCCATTATCCAAATTCAAGAAAAAAGTGAAAGAAGTTCTTCTTGATCAGCAGCGAAATCGGTTGTAACCCATAAGTGTCCTCATATTTTCCTTATGTATTTACTTGGATTATTCGTTATTGTATACAGGGCCTATTAATTTTCAATATATTCTTTTTTTTTTTTTTACATCTTGTATTGTTAAGGGGGTTAGATGGTAGAATAGATATATAATCTAAATCTCGCCTCCTGTAAGAATATTACAAATAAAAGACGTTAATTATTATTATTATTATTATTATTATTATATACGCATCAGACTCATAAGTACTACAAGCAGCGTGAACCTTTAAATCGCACATTAACCACTGTACCTATTCCAAATTAACAACATGATATCCTAACTTAAAATTCCAGATTTAGGAATCTATTTCGATCAACAACTTACTTTCAAAGAGCATATTAATCAAACTATTACAAGCGCTTTCAAAAGCTATGGCTTTGTTATCAGGAGCTTTCAAAGAGCATACGAGTATTAACCAAACTATTACAAGCGCTTTCAAAATCTATGGCTTTGTTATCAAGAACTCTAAAAATGTTGACGCTTGTGTTTTACAGACTTTATACTTGGGTAGGTCTAAACTCGAATACCTATCGTCTGATACGGAGTCCGCTTTACAAGCAATATATTGATGCTGCTGATAAACTTCAAAAGAAATTTTCTTAAATCTTGTGTTTCAAGATTGGTGGCATATATCCTACTAGATTTGATTGGAAAAATTAAGCAAATTAGGAGTAATGAACAACAACAACTGACAACATGAACATAACATTAAAACCAACAAACTGATTACAGAAATGATTACAGAAATTGTTGAAATGGCCACTTTGTATGCATGCTTCCGCCCTCCTTCTCATGGAATTGCGCACTCGTTGAAATATCCCTGGGGTGTTTTTTATTCTATCACAAGCTGCAACAATTCTTTCTCTTAATTCCTCTACAGTGTTAATGGGACTTGTGTACACTAGTGTCTTAGGATAGCCCCACAAAAGGAAATCTAAACTGTTGAGGTCCGGGGACCTTGCTGGCCATTCTTGGGGCCCACCGCGGCCAATCCAACGATTTGGATAAACAGTTTGTAAATAATTACGAACCGCTACACTGAAATGCGCTGGTGCACCATCATGCTTGTATAACATATTGTTTCTTATAACTAACGGAGCATCATCAAGCAGCAAAGGCAATGTTGATGAAGAAAATTGAGGTAAGTCTTTCCGTCAAGTCGTCCCGGTAAGAAGAATGGGCCAATAAAGTGGTTGCCAATAATTCCTGCCCATACGTTAACCAAACATAGGTTTCGGTTACGGCATAGGGATTTTCTTCTGTCCAAAAGTGATTATTTTGGAAATTCTGAATGACATTTCGAGAAAAATTATCTTCGTCCGTGACCAGAATCATTGATTCAAATTGCGAATTTTGTGTAATTTTTTTATGATACCACTGACAAAAGATCACACGCCTTCGAAAATCAGTGGGAAGTAACGCCTATACTCTTAAAATATGGTAAGGATATAGCAAAAACTCCACTAAAATGCTCCGAACAATTTGATGGCAAATATTTAAGTGTCTATCGGTCCTCCTCGTACTCATTTCAGGATGTTCTTCGACTTCGTGCAGCACTGCTTCCTCAATTTCTGGTGTTCTCACACTTAGAGGTCTACCTTCAGATGTTCCTTTTCGGACAGAACCAGTTTCAACACGACGGCTATGAATATTATAAAAGGTTCTGGCACAGCACGATCGGGATATCTCTGGTGATAAATCCGTCTGGCTTGCTCACCATTACCGTCGGCAAGGCCATATGCGTAATGCATTTCCGCCATTTCTGCATTTGAATAATTCACCATTCACCATTCACCAAGGTTGTAAAAACTAAACAATGAAAAAGATGTCACAGCGAACAGATTTGAATAATAGAGACTTGTCAGACGTCGAAAGCCAGTGACATATTCCAGAGCAACTAGATATTTATTGCTAAATTGCATTATTCAATTATTACAACAATTTTCTCGGACAATAGAATGGTTTTTAATTTTACTCAAAAATGGCGCATCGGAGGAAAACAATCCACGCAAGATCATTTGTTTTAAATTGAACGGGGAATTTAAAAATAATTTTTATTTGGCAAAAAACCAGTGGCGTACCGCTTTTTTCTTGAAAGATAGTAGTACCCGTACGTATGTCACTGTTAAAGCTATAAATTATTTTTGCATTGAAAAATATGCAACTTTACTAACTTCCACTACGTACTAAATATCAGTGAAATATCTGAAGCGGTTCTGGAAATATTAATTAATTTCCATTTTTTTCCTAAAACTTCAACACCCCAAGTTTTTGTAATTAAACATTTTTGCACCATAGTTTATAAAGCAAACTACCATTAATTTTTCATGTAGATCCACACCCTTAAATATTCGCATATCATTAAGGAACACTCTGTATAGATTTTACTTTCAATCCTTAGAACGGCGTGACCAATCAGCAATTTCAGTTTTGTATAAGCTGTTGCATAATCTAATAGGCTGTGCCACAATACTTTCACAAATACAGTCTCTGGTGCCACGACCAGCATCTAGATTTAATGTTCCAAAGAGTCCAAACGAACTCACTGTCGTACAGCGATGTATTTTAAAGCCTTTCGTTGGATTATTTCCGTTGCAACAATATAGCAATTATACAAAGGATCCGACATGGCACAACCATATTCTAGTCTAGGACGTACAAGTAAATTGAACGACTCGACTACAGCAGTATTCGAAAATCTCCGACAATTCCCATAAAGTTTCAAAGCGTCACATACCTTTTGCTCAACGTGGTTAGCAATTGTTAACTTGAAACTGCGATTTTTCTACTATATGTGTCAGCTTTACGTTTTTGAGCATTGAGATGAAGGTTGTTCCGGTTTTCAATGATAATCAAATAATTTTGAAGTAATTGACAATCACGAACCACATTTTTTTTAAATTTTATATATTTGTTTAGTTTTAAGTTATTTATACATCAGCTCATGTCCAGGCACAAGTTTCCGGGAAACTTTTTTGGGTCCATTCGTTTATTGTATAATATAGCTTTTTATCTACTACTACTATACTCTTTTTCTTTTAGGAATAAACGTTATTATTATCATTATTATCTTGACATCATCCGCAAAGCACAACACATTGCAATCAACATAGATGATCCATGGTATACGAGGGATGTCTTTTAAGTTTTGCATACGGAAATAAAACAACACGGTAGGTAGTTTTAAATGACTTTATTGTTTTTCGAAGTATTCTCCACGAAGATTAATATACATCTGAATGCGCCCGAACCAATTTTCGAAGCTCTTATTCCACTCGTTTATAATAATAATAATATACGCCTTTATTACAAAAAAATATGTACATGGTACATACTGAAAGTGGGACTCAACTGGCGAAGTTTAGCAATGCTACTCTTACACTTAACCAGCTGAATCAATAAATACAGTGATGTTAAATAAATTAAAAACATATATACATATATATATATATATACATTGAAAGCTAGAGAGAATTAAAAAAAGTATAAAGAGTCCTCTTTGCTTAAATTTTGTCGAAGTACCCAACAAAAGGCGGAAGCTTTAATTTTTCACCTTACATATATATATATATATATATATATATATATATATACATATACACATACATACACATATATACATACACACACATACATATATACACACACATATAAACATACCCATATATACATATATATCATGCGCCTAAAAATAATATTTGCTCAACGTAATAAATATAAAGTCTGATTGGATGATGAATGTGGAAAGGATAGTATCAGTCAAGCAGCCTGATCCTTACATGCTTACGAAAACTTGCTAAGCTCATACATTTAAAGGAATATTCCAACGAATTATATAGAATTGCGCAATTATAAGAAAAACTGCGGGTGAATAAGACTGTAGAGTGAGGCGGAATTCTGATACTCAATCTATCTCTAAGCAACCGATCATGAACAACAAAGTTAAATAGAATTTTTTCTCTCAAGTAGGCGGGCTTTGAAGTGGTTATTACTTTGTGAATAAATACTAGATGGTGATATTCGACCAATTTATCAAATTTGAGCCATTTCAGCGTCCTGTATTTCTGTGATACATGGTCAAATTTTCTCAATCCACATATAAAACAGACACAATTATTCTGTATAATTTGAATTCTATTTTTCGTTATTTTGTCAAGGCATGGGAAATAAAGGATGTTACAGTAGTTCAAACAAGACATCACTAGCGTTTCACAGAGTTTTTTTCTGAGCTTATAGTTCAGTAAGTACCTACAAGAGTACAAAGTGCGTAGGCGGAGGTAGGTTTTTTGAGCAAGACAGTTGATATGATTATAAAACCTTAACTTTTCATCGACCTCGATACCTAAAATCTTGGCAGTAGTACCAACCTGAAGAAGATTTCTGTCAATAAAGATATTAAGGGTACCTTTGACGTAGTTTCTTTTATTATCAGAACAGAAAACTATGATTTTTGACTTCTCAGGATTAACTAATAAATTATTATTGGCTGAATATTTACAAACCATGTCAATATCATGTTGTAGCTCTATATTGGCTGTTGGTAATTCACTAGCTTTAAAATAATGTACAATTTGGGTATCGTCTGCAAAAGATTGCATTTCAGAATTTTCCATTACTGCATATAGATCGAAGGTGTAGATGAGGAATAAGAGAGGACCTAGGATAGAACCCTGAGGCACTCCAGATGGTATGACACTTGGGACAGAGCTCTGTCTAGATAGAGAAACTTCCTGTACTCGGTCGGTTAAATACGCACAGAAAAATTTAAGTGAGGTATTATCAAAGCCAATATATTTCAATTTAGCTAAAAGAAGGATATGATTGATTCTATCAAATGCCTTAGAGTAATCAACCGATATCAAAGCTACTGTGATCTTTTTATCAAGCGCACGTAGCACATTGTCGCATAGATTTAATAAGGCAGCTGTTGTACTATAGTGTTTTCTGAAACCAGACTGATTGGTGGATAAGATTATGCATGCTTCAATGTAAGCAGTTATTTGAATCTGAACGATCTTTTCTAAGATTTTTGATAACACCGGCAATAAACTTATTGGTCGTAAATCTGAAAGCTGGGTTGGTTTGTTAATTTTAGGGATAGGAATAACTAAGGCATGTTTCCACATAGTGGGAAAGTAGCCTTTCTCAATACATGAATTGATTAGATGTACAATATGAGCAAACGTTATAGGCAAACTGACTTTAATCATGGTTAAAGATAAGGTATCGATGCCCTTAGCATCCGACTTTAAGCTTTTTATTGCCTGAAATACCTCAAAAGGTTCGGCAATTCTTAGAGCAAAGTTATTGTTTGGGTGAAACTTATTTCGATTATAAAATTGAATTACATCTTCGGAAATATTATTAGCACAGTACACGCTCATAAAGTAGTCATTAATCGCATCGGGATCACAAAAATTTGACGGTATAGCGGGTTTACTACTAAAATTTATATCAATATTTTTGAGTCCATTCCACAACTCTTTCGCATTACCTTGCTCTGTTAACAATTCAACGTACGCTTTTTTTTGTTTGCGAATCTCTAAGAGAGCTTTATTTCTTTTCTGTTTATACTTAGCAAAATGTTCTTCCGTTCGATTCTTTCTAAAAAAGCCAAAGCTTCATCTTTTTCTTTTAGTAGTTGCTTAAGGTTGCTGTTCAACCAAGGAGCAGGTTTTTTGTTAACTCTGAATGTTCTGATCGGAGCGTGTTCATCATATGCATCTATAACTGCTTTAGTTAAGTATTCAACTTTGTCTTCAATGCTTTGTAAGTAGAAAATTGTATCTAATTCCTTTGATTGAAGCTCTAGCAAAAAACTTTCCACGTTGAACTGCTTAAAGTCTCTTACCGTGATAAATTTCTGTTTTTTAACAGTATCTTTCACTTTCATACTACAAACTACGACTTTATGGTCGGAAATACCACAAGCATGCAGTATAAAACATTCATCAAACATTTGGGGTTTATTGGTGAAAATCGGGTCCAGAAGAGTTTCTGTATCATTCATTACACGAGTAGCATCTTTGACGAGCTGAGTAAAGCCCACCAACTCAAAGCAAGGAGAAAGAGCGTTCTGTGGATTAAGAAGATTAACATTTAGATCACCAGTAATAATAACTTTGTCGAAATTAAGACAGATTAATGGCAGCAGAGTGTCTAGGATGTTGACGTTTGCTGGCAGATCCAAAATGGCATTTTTGAATGCGTCAACTGCTTCTTCTGGTGACCGGAACCTCTGACCACGCAGTCTGTTTTAAATTTTCGGGAAAGTAAAGAAATCGTTAGGACGTAGACCGGGACTATATGGAGGATGGTCCAATAATTCCACGTTTTCTTCCGTTAAATACTGCCTTGTTTTTTGGGCTGTGTGCGAGCTTGCATTGTCTTGATCGAGGATGATTCTTCCTTCGGAGTTGATTTTTCGAAGCTCGGTGATGACTTTTGGCAAACAAATGGTGGTATACCAATCCACAGTAACAGTTATTTGCTCATTAAGAGGGATTGTTGGAATATGACCCGCTTTTGACACAAATGTCGCGACCATCTTTTTCGAAACACTTCGAGAACGGATGACTTTTGTTGGCTTTTCTTCACCTTAGAACACCCAAACAGCCGACTGTCGTTCATTTGCTGGTTCTAACAATGCTGTACACATTTTTTGAGTTTCCGGAATTGAAACGGTCAAGCGTTTTTTGACACCAATTAACCCTAGCTGCTTTCTGCTCTCCAGTGAACAGGTGGGGTATCCAACGAGAAACTAATTTTCTTACTCCTAATTCTTTATGTAATTTTTTTGAATTGAGGTCTTTGAGATTTTCAAGGACGCCTCAATCTCGCGATATGTCATATGTCTATCTTCAATGATGAGTTTGTGCACAGCATCAGCGTTTTCCAGGGTGACTGAGGTTTTGGCGAATTCACCCTGGAATCGTCGCTAAGACTCACCTGTCCACATTTGAATTCTCCATAACAACGGGAAATTGTCGACTGATGTGGCTCTTCGTTGTCGAAAACAGACAGTAACTCAGCAAGGCATCCTTGTTGCGATAATTGTCTCTGAAAGTTGTAATAAATTAAGGCGCGAAAATGTTCTCGGTTGAGTTCCATTTTTCTAATGACTTGGTGACACTTAAAAATTCACTGTAGTGAGAACACTGCACGCATTGTTGTGAAACTTTGAATTTAAGTTTACTAAAGAGTGAGGTTAAGATTCAGTACTGACGTTCGATTCGCGTGGCCTGCTATGTTTCTATATGCAAAACTTAAAAGACATCCCTCGTAGAACATTACTTTGATTGGCACCTGTCTTTCGGTAACATCGTTTTCTCGAACTAAATGTACTTTGTAAGTTGTGATACGATTCAGCAAGTCTTCCAGACAGAGCAATTAGTACTTCAAGACTTCATAAAACTGGATATTCATCGTTACAGTTTCATAACTTCTAGAGTGGAGACCGGGATTCTGCGACGAATCTGTGGAACTTTGAGAGTGAAAATATGTGCTTGCTCAAATAAATGATCCTCGGAGATAATATATGATGTGTGTGAATGCTAATAGCAGGCGTATCCGATATATTTTTTTATATTTAAGGCGAATTGAAGTGTAAACTGCTTGCTCATTTTTGATTTTCTTACTACTCTTACTGTTATTTTTTTCATACTGATTTACGGAACTGGTATCTGCTTTTCTGAACAAAATTATATTTATTTTCTTTTCTATAACAGATTGCTCGGTACATAGTGTTAAACTGTTGGCAATTAAGGCTTATTATCCTTATTGTTATTAAAAATGGAAAAGACAAGTAAAATAGGCAATCTGGGCTCTGGCTCACCAAGCACCTGTTCCATTAACAACTAGCCATGCCTCACACCGTGAGGTTAGCAACTAGTTGCCCGCAAATCGTGTGCCCTAAGTAGATGGGGGAACCGAGGATGAGTGCTTTCTGTATTCTAATGATGCTTGCTTTTTTTGCAATTATACTAAGTGACATATAAATCCGAACACCCAGTTTAAATGGTTTTATTTTAATAAAAGTTGGTGAATGTATTTATCTTACTGTAAATAACAAGTGAAAAAATTTTCAGCCTTATCAGTTGGACATTCCGGTTTTTATACTGCTTTTTTTTAATTCACTAACGCTCTAAAAATGAATATTTCAGCCGCAGTAAAGAATCAACGTTGGCGGATTTTGGTTCTTGACATCCTTTACGATCGTTTACGATGCCTAGAGTACGGAGACCTGTACGATTTCGTCTTACCTTAGTGAGTTTGATAGGGGCCGTATAGTGGGACTTCGGGAAGCTGGACTTTCTTTTCGGGCAATTGCAGTTAGAGTGCAAAGAAGTGTAGACACTGTGGTTAGGTGTTGTCAGGCATGGCTTCGAGAAGGCCGTACGCAAAGGGCAAGGGGCACTGGACGCCGCCGTAGAACAACAGACCGTGAAGATCGCCGCCTAAGATTATTGGCCTTAAGGGACCGTTTCTCCACTACCAGGTCCTTTGCAAATGAATGGTTTGCAGAACACGGAAGACCTATTGGCATGCGAAGTATTTATCGACGAATGAGAAGTTTTGGCTTGTTTTCATACCGGCCACACTGGGTCCTCCCTTTAACTCGAGAACACCGACGTAATCGCCTTGAGTGGTGCAGACAACGGTCACTCTGGGATCAGGAATGGCACAGTATTGTCTTTAGTGACGAGTCTCGATTTTGTTTAGGCATGCACGATGGTCGTGCCAGGGTTAGAAGACGACGTGGTGAAAGGAGGAATCCACAGTCTTTTGTTGAAAGACATGTTCATCACACTGTTGGAGTTATGGTTTGGGGTGCTATAGCTTATGGTTCCAGGTCACCTTTAATCTTCATGAGAGGTAACATGAACGTGCAGCGTTATATCCACGAAGTTCTAGAACCCCATCTTTTACCCTATCTTGACACCCTGGCAGATCCAACCTTCCAACAAGATAATGCCCGACCACATGTTGCAAGAGTCACAGTAGACTTCTTTCAACATAATGATGTCACATTGTTACCATGGCCACCAAGATCTCCCGACTTATCCCCAATTGAGCACGTGTGGGATATGATGGGTAGGAGATTGCTCAATTTGCAACGTCCTCCTCAGACTCTAGAAGCACTTCGAGAGAAGTTGGTGGTTGCCTGGAATGAGATACCACAGGAGGACATTGACCACCTGATCAGAAGCATGCCTAGGCGCGTTGGAGAATGCGTAGCACATCAGGGTGCATCCACACATTATTAAAGGTCAAAGGGCTTTAAAGCAGTGCAATCATTTTGAAATTATTATCATTTACTTATTATGCTTCATTAAGTACTTATACAAAATTTTATTAAAATAAAACCATTTAAACTGGGTGTTCGGAGTTATATGTCACTTAGTATACTTCATCTGGTGATATATGTTTTAGGGTAGCAACAGTTTTGCTTTTATTATCAAATCGCTTATAAATTTGAAGACAACTTTCTGTTAAAAAATTTAAATACCTCTTTCCGAAGTCAAATAACTCTGCATCATTTAGTTTATGTTCATTATTGCTTATAGCACCTGTTACGTAGACACTTGAATAAATGTTTTCTATTTCCACAAAATTATGAGGATTTTTATATTCTAGTTTGTCAATCAAAGTTTTATCTAAATAATCCTTTTTCATGTAACAATCCGAAATTATTCTTAACACATGTTCAACTCGTTTATATAACATGTGTACTTTGATATTCTCGGATTGCATTTCTAAATTTAGTTCCATAAAAAACTGCAGCACAAGTTTAAAAAATGTAAATACAATATGGTACATGGATTTTGAAGAAAATTTAAGATATTTTGTGCTTGAATGCCATTTTTATTGTAGCACTGATTTGTAAAATATAATTTTAAAGCATCATATTGCTCAAGTATTCTTTTTACAACAGGCAATACAGACAATCACCTTGTTTGGGAGGGTTGTAAAATTTAATGAGGCTTTGCCTTTTAAAACTGTATTGTAGATTCATATGAACATCTCTGGCCATTTCTTCAATATCATCTGGTAATTTAGCACAAGCATAACTAACACATAAACTAAATGACTGACAGACACATTTGATAATGAATAAATTAGGAATATCGGATTTTAGTTTGGTGGATAATGAATTATTATTTCCCATCATAGCAATTGCACCATCTGATGCAAAGCCTATTAGAATTTACTTATAATTAATATTATATTTTAATAAATAATTAACAATAGTGTTGTATAGTCCTCCTACCGTTGCATCTGCTACAGGAAATATACCAAAGAACAAGTCAGGAATTTTATGTTCATAAAAAAAGCGTGCCACTAAAGCTAAATGTTTAATTGCGCCTTTATCGGTAGATTTATTAGTACTTAATGAAAATTTATTTGTTTGTAATAAATTAATAGAATTTTCAAAACTGTACTGCCCTAAAACATTATTGACAATAGCTGTAGCTTTGGTGCGAGAACATGTGAATTTTTTTGCAATCTCTGAATCGTCAAGTGATATTCTACAAATAATAAAATAAATGATCTAAAGTATTTAACGGAATGTTATGTTCAGCTACATATGCTGCAATTCCAATTTCATCAGTTTTGTTTTTGTTATTTAAAGATATCTTTTCCATATAATATGTCATATCAGACAAATTTTTTTGTGTGCGTAATGATTTTAAAAAATTTGGTGTGTTGTTTTCCTGAAGAATGCTTATGGATTTCGGATCTGCCACATATAAAATCTTTATTGCATGCCTTGCAGAATGCATAATTGGACCCTTTCTTGCTGCTCCTCAGCCAACCTTTAAATTCAGGTTCTTGTTCCCATGCAGCGATATATTTCTGAGTACAGGACTTTATGATTTTTTTCTTTTTTCTTATATGTCTAGCTTCTTCAAAAAAGACAGTGAGGATTCCAATTCATCAGCATGTTTAGAATTTAATGGTTGAGATGTAATTGAGGACATGATGTTACATCTGTGTTTATAAAGAAACAATAGCAAACACATTTAGAAGTTTGGTTTAAAATACATACGAGCCACTTCAGTTGGCCCAACTATTGAAATCTCAGTTTTTTTTCTTATCAAACACAAATAATAAAAATGTAGCAGGGTGTTATAGGTTTAAAATATTAACAATGAATATCTTGATAATATATAGTAGAAAACACCAACTTTATCACCCCCTAATCAAATTTGCAGCATAAAAATAACACATGTTGCAATTACAGCATATCAACCTATTTTCATTTCAATGCAAAAAAAGTCTATAACGCATAGGTGGCTGTGAAAAATAAAAGCCATGACAATTGTTTTTATTAATCACAGGTATCAGAATACGTTTAAAATAGTTTTGAGTAGTTAAGGTTTTCAAAATGGGTAGAGGAAAGGTTATTAGCGAGAAAATTCGGTTACTGATAATTAATTTTTTTTATTCTGGGAAATCAAACTCAGAAAGTGCCACTATGTTAGACTTATCGCGGTACGGTGTGAGAAATATTGTTAGAAGATATAACGTAACTGGTTCAGTTAATATTAAGCCACGATATGTGAAAAAAAGTAATATAACAAATGCCGACCGAAGAGCATTAAGAAGAATAATCGTGCAAAACAGGCGTGCCAATTATTTATAATTAAGTGCTTTGTGGCGTGACGCTGTTGGAAGGAGAATTTCGAGGTCCACAACTCATAGAGAGGCCCACAAACTGGGATTTAGCACTTGCAAGGTAAGTTTTCTTATAAAAAAAGTGAAGTAAAGACCCTAAAGTTGCACAACTTGTTTATAGGGCAAAGAAAAGCCACTATTAACTCCACTGCAAAAGAAAAATCATCTTAGATGGGCTAAAGAACATAGACAATGGACACCTTAACAATGGTGTGCAATACAATGGAGTGCTGAGGCCCGATTCGAAGTTTGTGTTGGTGACAGTCGCAGTAGAATTATTCGCAAAAAAATGAAGCATTCCATATTGACCGTCTGAAGAGAAAAGTGAAATTTCCAGCATCCATTATGGTCTGGGGCAGTATGTCATCAAAAGGAGTAGGAAAACTTCATTTAATTGATGGAAATGTGGATACAATCAGCCATTTGGCAACTTTAGAAGAATCGCTTTTAACAGTGATGGAAGAATGTTTGACATCCGGCCAAGATTCTGAGTTTCAGCAAGATGGTGCAGCGTACCATACCTCAAAAAAGGCTATAAAATGGATGGAAGAAAATAACGTACCACTTTTGAAATGGGTTTCTAGCAGTCCAGATCTGTCTCACCTATTGAAACTGTGTGTCACGAGATGAAAAAGTTTCTACGACAACATCCTGCTCGTACAATCACCGCACCGAGACAAAGGCTACAAGAAATATGGGGTTGTTTTACACCAAATTTTTGCCAAAACTTGGTTAACACTATGCCCCAAAGAGTTTCAGCCGTAATAAAAGCTAAAGGTGATGTTACCAACTGGTAATCTTTCAATTGTTGCTATGTTAACTTCGCGCATTTATTCGCACATTGCTTATTTGTTCAGATGCTCTATTAGTTATAGGTCTAAGTGATTTCAAATATGTATTTTTTACGACTAGAGTGTATCTAAAATGTTTTTGAGAAAATAAATTGTTTTAGAAATAAATAGTTTCGTCATGTTTAGCTTATAAAGGCATATTTTGGTACAAATCTTGAAGTGGGCCAACTGAAGTGGGAAGAGGCTCGTAGAACATAGATATACATATTATAATATGTATGTCTGAGACATCAATATTTCATTAACTTATAGAAATATTTTTTCATTAACTTTAACACTAGATAATTAATTCCTTAGTAAGCTCTGAAGAACCTCCCTGATCAAGTATAATAATTGGAAAAGTAAATATACTGTAATAAATAAATAGGTAATTACCTATGGCAAATAAGTTCAATGTCTAGAAACTCTAATGATTATTCGTTAATAATTTTAGAGCACAAACTAAAAAAAATAGTTTTTCTAAGGCACAGTTAGCACAGGGCACAATCCTTACAATTACATATAAACAGCACGAAATGCTACAGAAACCACCCAGCGGTTTATATATTATATTATAGCCCAGGTATTTCCCCGTATGTAAAATACCGTTCTGGTATTCACCGACGGGAAATCACCGACGGGGAATCACCGATGAGTAATCACCGACGGGGAACCACAGCGTTTCGTTTAGTAATTCCCCGGATGTTATGAGTTATGATTTCCGACCGGTTTGTTGATACAATTTGGTGTTCATACATTTTAATATATTTTTTATCATATTTTATAGGTAAAATCGGAAGGTATTTTGAAAGTAATATTCTTAGTTTATTCTCTATCTTTCGTTTATTTTTTGTCCCTGCTGCTTAAAATTGTCTTACAGAGTTTAGAATCCCCTAGATTTTGTACAAATTTAAATAAGTTTCCCTTTTCCCTAAGCTTGCTCGTAATTCCCTAGATATAGGGTAATTTTACTAGGTCTGGAAACACTGTATTTGACCCGCACGTCGAGTGCGTCGATAAAGACCTCTTGCCTCTTCCTCGCGTATACGGGTGCCGAGTAATTCAAATTTGAAATGTGAACTTTTCAACTGGACACTCTATTTATATTTGAACGTACATTTTTATACGTTATTTATAATGTCGAACGGATAATGAAGTGAATTAAATGAAGCACGTTTCGTTCGAAAAATCACCTAACCATACAGTTAATAGAATGTTCATTCCGCTTATAATACAGAAAGAAGCCGTACATTGTTTTCTCGGCAGACGTTACAAAAACACGTATTGCTTTCTGTACTCACCGAAACATTGAGCACCGGGAAACTTTTCGCATTTTCCTCGGTAAACAAAAGCGCTCGCTTTGTTTGTCCAAACAATCAACCCCGAACGATTATCGTCCGATCAAAGTATTAGGAATTCAGAAGAAACAGACGTAAGCTCCGTCGTGTACCGAGATAACAAAATGAAAACTTTGTCTACAACGTCTTATTTAATATAAGCAGAAACTTTGGAAAGGCGCTACTGCCGAAACGACGTCGAGACACGCTACGACTACCGGAAGAATTTAAAGTGCTCCGGCAACTATGTACACTTAAACTATTTAAGTTTCCTTTGAAATTTCTCCGAGGAGCACCCTTGTGTATTTTATATTATGTCTTTCTCTGTGTCTACATGCATATGTGTACTTAGAACGATACACAAAGTTATGGAACTTTGGGAACTCATGCTGCGGTTGCGTCGCTGATCTTTGTCAGGGATCCTTGATGGTGGAGTCCTGCGCCGCGATGGGAACCGAATTTTTTGGTACTTTGGAAATTAAAAAAATCAATAGTCCACACCAACCAATTCAAAAACTATACCTACGTATGTTCCGATTTTAATAATTTCCAACACGAAGTTTTGCCTACACTTTATTGGCCCATTCCTCTTGCCGGGACGACTTGACGGACAGGTTTACCTCAATTTTCTTCAACAACCAGAGGGGCCAGAGGGGTGAAGAGTAGGGGGAAGGGGCGCGGTGCCGCTTTCCTTCTCTGCGTGTGCGTTTTGAAATCGTTGCGGTTGGGTACTACTACGAGGGTACTACGATATGTATTCTAAATATTTACGTCGACGAGGACTTCACATAACTAAGATCGAACATCACTTACAGTAAGTTGGTTTGATTATAGTTGTATATGAATAAAAAAAACCAGTCTGATCTCTTAATTTACAGAAAGCTTATAGAGGAAACAATAAGCATAATGTTGCGATTTAATGTATAAAAAAGATAGTATTTACTTTCTGCGACTATATTAGTAAGTAAATTAAGGGTCAGGAGATCTTGCTGGCCATTTTCGAGGACGAGGAGCATTTCGACCGATCCAGCGATTTGGATAATGTTCATTCAAATACTGAATGACGCCTCTAAAAATGTGTGGTGGTGCTCCGTCATGAAGACGCCGCAAATTCTGTCTCCGATGTAATGGCATGTTGTCTAAGGTCTGTTCCAAAGTTCTCGTAGGTTATTGACTAGAAAGATAATGTATCCTTCTCTTGACAACTTTGGAGGTAACTCGAAAGGGCCAATTACCTGATCATCAAGAATACCCGCCAAAATATTTATTTTAAAAAGATGTTGAAAATGACCTTCACGAATGGTATGAGGATTTAATATTCCGTCTCGCATAAAAGTACATTCGTTCGTCGCTAGAATGTTTTTAAAAAAATCCGGAATCTCAGTGTTTTTGTGCAAAAACTACTGACAGAATGTTAGTCTGCGAGGACAGTCTTCTGGTAACAAGGCCTGCACCCGTTGAACATGGTCCCTAAAATTGTAGGGCGCCTTTATGGCCTCCTTGATTGTCATAGTTTTCTGCTTCCCCGTGTCAGAACTCTATTTTGAGGTTATGTCACAAACATCTATTTCCATCAAATTGTGCTTGCTTTTGAGTTATACCAAGTTTTATCAGCCTGAAATTTCCTGCAATTTGAAAAGAAAACATATCTTCACAATAGGAGAGCGCTGACGCTGACACGGGACAAGTGTAATCCAGAAATTTTTGAAGGAGAGAAAGGAGGATGACAATCAAGGAGGCCATAAACGCGCCCTAAAATTGTAGGGAAGACTGACAATATCTCAAACTAAAGTTTTTGCAAATACATTGCTTCCCTCCCTGGGAAGTAATTTAAGAATGACGGAAAAGTAAAAAACATTGAAATGAATGATTAATCTTCTGAACGCTATCGAAAATATAAACACTGAACTTTGGATCCATTTAATCTCTCAAAAATTTATTATAAGGGAACTTGATATTTCTGCCGCTAGAATTCCAAAGTGCGCTTCATTTATTAGAACAGAAGCATAATTTAACTCCTTAAGAAATTAATCATTCCCGCTAACGGCTCAATCACATTTGCATTCTCTATTTAGATTATTAATTAATCCTAAAATTAATTAAAAGACAGAAGTGAGAACAAACTCCACTTTGAAACAAAGCCCTTTCGGTACGATACAAATTAAGAAAATCCCTACAGTAGACCTTTCAAATGGAAATCAGTGTTTGAATAGGATCCTGCCATCTCCTGCGAGAAATCCTTGTTTTCCTGTATAATCCTTTGTAAATGGGCTTTTCTTGAAAGGTGATAGGGTCATACGCTTTGTTGTCGAATGGTACATGGAGTCGGTTTAACTTTTGCGTAACAATCTGTGTAGCTAAACAAATAGATGTATTAGGATAAGGAAGCTACTCCAGAACTTTTCGCATGTAACACGGCCGTTTCTCACAGTGTAACATGTTAAAATTTTGCAATTTGAGTATAAAGAGATGATACGCTGTGTGTATCTTCATTTTATTTACTTATTAACTTATTTATTTACTCATGTTTGGGCTGCAACAGAATGTGAATTCCAAAGACAGCACCTGCTGCTTACTATAGTGATAAATTAAAAAGATACATAGGTTACAAAATCCAGAAGATCTGAAAATCTGTAACACAAGCCTACTATGAGAATAAGCAATACTATGATATAGCAACTACTATAAAACGATATAAATCTAAAATTTATTTTTTTCAAAAATTAGCATGTATCGTTACACTATTCCATGAATCGCACTAGTTACCAAAAAACACAAACACAGCACGTTACTAGACAGCTTTGATAACAAAACATATAAAACCCAACTAACAATTATCACTCCTATTAGAGTTGCAAGAATGATTATACAATATTCCTTACGCAGCATTGTATACTGTAAGAACATTGGCAAAACCCTCTTAGAACAGCTATACAAGCGTAATGGGCACACCTAATAGGACACGTCAGTCATTTAAGAGGTTAAATAAGGGCTGCAGGTAACAGTTATACAACAAAAGTGTGAGCCTCTTGCAGCCGCTATAGGACATTTGCGTCAGTGCAAGATTCAGTTTTTGTTAACTATACAACTACTCTGTTACGAGATTCTGCTTTATTGCCACCAAACTATACTAAGTGACATATAAATCCGAACACCCAGTTTAAATGGTTTTATTTTAATAAAATTTTGTATAAGTACTTAATGAAGCATAATAAGTAAATGATAAAAATTTCAAAATGATTGCACTGCTTTAAAGCCCTTTGACCTTTAATAATGTGTGGATGCATCCTGATGTGCTACGCATTCTCCAACGCGCCTAGGCATGCTTCTGATCAGGTGGTCAATGTCCTCCTGTGGTATCTCATTCCAGGCAACCACCAACTCCTCTCGAAGTGCTTCTAGAGTCTGAGGAGGACGTTGCAAATTGAGCAATCTCCTACCCATAATATCCCACACGTGCTCAATTGGGGATAAGTCGGGAGACCTTGGTGGCCATGGTAACAATGTGACATCATTACGTTGAAAGAAGTCTATTGTGACTCTTGCAACATGTGGTCGGGCATTATCTTGTTGGAAAGTTGGATCTGCCAGGGTGTCAAGATAGGGTAAAAGATGGGGTTCTAGAACTTCGTGGATATAACGCTGCGCGTTCATGTTACCTCTGATGAAGATTAAAGGTGACCTGGAACCATAAGCTATAGCACCCCAAACCATAACTCCAACAGTGTGATGAACATGTGTTTCAACAAAAAACTGTGGATTCCTCCTTTCACCACGTCGCCTTCTAACCCTGGCACGACCATCGTGCATGCCTAAACAAAATCGAAACTCGTCACTAAAGACAATACTGTTCCATTCCTGATCACAGAGTGACCGTTGTCTGCACCACTCAAGGCGATTACGTCGGTGTTCTCGAGTTAAAGGGAGGACCCAGTGTGGCCGGTATGAAAACAAGCCAAAACTTCTCATTCGTCGGTAAACACTTCGCATGCCAATAGGTCTTCCGTGTTCTGCAAACCATTCATTTACAATGGCCCTGATAGTGGAGAAACGGTCCCTTAAGGCCAATAATCTTAGGCGGCCATCTTCACGGTCTGTTGTTCTACGGCGGCGTCCAGTGCCCCTTGCTCTTTGCGTACGGCCTTCTCGAAGCCATGCCTGACAACGCCTAACCACAGTGTCTACACTTCTTTGCACTCTAACTGCAATTGCCCGAAAAGAAAGACCAGCTTCCCGAAGTCCCACTGTACGGCTCCTATCAAACTCACTAAGTTGACGAAATCGTACAGGTCTCCCTACTCTAGGCATCGTAACCGATCATAAAGGATATCAAGAACCAAAATCCGCCAACGTTGATTCTTTACTGCGGCTGAAATATTCATTTTTAGAGCGTTACTGAATTAAAAAAAAGCAGTATAAAA